AGTAACTCATGTTGGATGTGGTACAAGGGAAGCCCGTGACACGGAGGAAGGACGAGTCTAGCTGCCAGAGAAGGCCGAGTGGGACAGACTCGCTCTTATTCTCGCGCAGGGCACTTACCCTCTCGCCGGGCACGCGATGTCGTGACGTCACAGCTGTCAATCAACGACGTTTTGCCCTCCGATTGGTCGACGAAGTGTCGGGAACGCCCACTTTAGGTGTTCACAGACAAAACTGACCGGTAATTCCGTTTCAGACTACAAACTTTTAATTCAAATCTAGTCTCAAACAATGCTGGAAATTAGCCTGATTGATAGACAATTTTGGCAAGTTTATTGCAGATTATTTCATTCTTTTTCAAATCTCGAATCGGGTGGGGTTTTCCCATAGGATCAAGATTTATTGTCTGAAAATATGTGTTTATAGTCTGTAAAAAGTTTACATGTATGTGTGACAATAACTTGACAATTGTTAATGTAGAAAGCGTCAAAGTAGTCCAACTGTTTAATTTTGCCAGGCTTTGACAAACTTAAATAACTTTTTAAGCTCAATCGTGCAAGCACAACTTTGTGTTTTAGATTTTTTTTACTTTCGTCTCAAAACGGACATATCTGAGAAAGCAAGAAACCCCAAGAGACATCATTAAGATTTTAACACTCTTTAAGACAAGAGAACCTTTCTTTTGTCATAATAAGACATGGTACACCTGCAAAGTAATTAGTCCAACTTATAATTACATGTATTCCCCTGAAGGCGGGACATTGTTTCTATCTTCTATCGTAGGAGCTACCACATATAAGTACTAACAATAGGCATTCCTAATTGCATTTCATATCCATTTAGCACATAAGCCATGCTTTCACCAAAATTCACATAATTTAAAAGTCCTCTCTCTGCGCATGTTTAGCCTGAGGCATTCCCTACAACATACTTCTAATTCCAGCACAGCCAATACCTGTTCAACAAGAACCGTACAGCATCTTGGAAATAGTTTTTATTCTTCCACCAAATACCGACAGCGACTTCATTTGCAGTGTGCATGCTCCCGTGCATAAGAACAAATACAGAAGGACAAGGCTCTTTGTTTATTTTTGTACGTGTACTGACCCCATGCTCTTATTGAGTGACTTCAAACCCAAAACAAGCACACCCAGGAAACAAGATACCATTGTTTCTACCGGCATGCATCACGAGTATAATTTCCTGTCAGGAATATGGAACTAGGTAAGAGGATATTTATAAGAGAGATGTGTAGTTTATTCTTACTGCTGCAAAATCATGCAAAGCTTTGGCGTTTTATAGGGCTTTTTTTCGGGAAATTTTTTTTTTCCAGACAGGCAGATTTTCGTATTGGATACTACCCTGCAAATGATACTGCCTTGCCAATTTGATACTGTCTTGCAGATAAAGATCTGCTTGGAGATTGGGTATCACATGCGTTCTTCACACCGCATTTTCAATGCGAGGAATTCCGATTGGACATATAGACTCTGTCTGTCTCAACTCATGAAAAATTTAAAGCCCGGTCGCACGCAAGCTTCTGCTGACACTACCCGCGTGTGTCGGGGAAACAATTCCGTGTGACACATACCAAAGATGGGATGTGGGGGGCTGGCTTCAAGCCATGCTGCCTGCCATATGTTATTTTTACCTGGCTTTTTAACAAAACACCTTTGACAGATTGGGATTGTCATTGAGTCTTTTGAAGGCAAATATACGACTGACACAAAAATTACAAAAAAGTACCGAATTTTGTCAATGATACAAAGGTGTGTGCGAGCTCGATTGAGCTAGTAAATTAGTGTGAAAACGGGTTAGCAAAATACGTTTTTGTACTGTCGCAAATGTCGTAAGATTGTCGTAAGATCACAAACTGATGGCGTTTTGGGGTAAGACGTGCATGTGTCCTGCAAAATTGAGAAGTGCCTAAGATCCTTGTGGACGTCGGCTGTTGGTTCTGCCAGTCCGCTTGAAAGCCTGCATTAAAAGTCGTACGACTTACTACGACTGTGAATGTGATGTTCCTACGAATGCTATAAATCTAACACTAACACACGACCAGGTGACAAGCACACACAACGAAAATAGATGCCCCTTTAGCTGTTTTGTGCATGTGAGTTTTGCCATCAAACCCTTTCGCAAAATCAACAACGTCAGACAAGCGAGGCACATACCGTGACCGCAAAGCAGGCGTTGATATTTGCTCGTTTTTCGGATCATCGGAAACTAAGCGTAAAAGCACACTTGTAAGTAAACGTGTTTGATTTGATTAACAAGATCGATTTGACATTATTTGTCTGAATGAGTATGTAAAGTTGCAGGAAAAATTGGCGCCATTTTCTTTTCCACCTTTTAACAAGAATGAATTCTGAGAAGACAGCAAAGAGACTTTTAATTAACAGACAACAGTTTTGTGTCCACCATGAATTTAAAATGTGTTTAAGTGGACAAAAGCAATTATAGTGTACACAATGCAGATTATCCAGAGTGACTATTATAGATCCCACCTGAAATCTTTTTCAACAGAAAGAGAGATAACAGACTACTTTCCCACAAACAAGATAAAAAAGATAAGTAACATGAAACTCCAACCCTGTCTATTTAAGGTTGCAAAATTAACACAATAACACAGAAATATGAGCTTCAATATATCCGCAAGTCTTAATCATAAATGGACAGTGACTAAGAAAGCAAGAAACCCCAAGAGACTTCGTTAAGATTTTAACACTCTTTAAGACAAGAGAACCTTTCTTTTGTCATGAAAAGACATGGTACACCTGTAAAGTAATTAGTCCAACTTATAATTACATGTATTCCCCTGAAGGCGGGACATTGTTTCACACATGCTCAGTCTTCTAGCGTATTAACTACATACCACACATTTCTACCAACCATTCTAAAGCGACGAAGCAAAGATACAGTATTTCAAGCGATTTTGTTTGCAGTAATTTTAATTGAAAGAAAAAGAAATAACCACAAGAAGAACCCATCGACGGACTGCATGTACAGAATTCATTCCCAGACTAGAGTAAAAGGCATCCTTTGTTTTAGAAAAAAACTCTAATTAGCAAGGACAGCACTTTTAGATAGACGGTATTTTAATAGGGTGTTGCGAAGTAGTATCATTTACCTACTAGGTATATGTTAACTATATATCCACTAAAACAATGAAAATTTACACAAGTTAACAAATGTTTGAGGTAACCGAAAAAAGCATCAAACATAAATTCACGAATTTTGCTGTAGTCGTCATTTGTGTAAATTTTCCCCGGATATGTCAAAATACATTCCAAGAAGATGTTTTTAGTGATATGCTGAGTGTGTATATGTGTGTGTGTGTGTGGGGGGGGGGGGCTGGGGTGCGTGAAAATGGCATATACCAGAAGCCATACGAAAGAATGACAATATAGTGACATTAAAATTAGTACGTCAATCATGTTGTGTAGCAGGTATTTAGCAAATTTAACCCACGGGCTAATCTTTAAATGTCAATCAAGCAAATATCATCACATGCAATAATGCCCATATAAATGTATTACAGGCATAGGCTTAAAAGTAAATAGTCATAAAGACCTAGAGACATATAATTCTTACAAAAAATCAGAAGAAATGACATATATCTAGAAAGCACAAGAGATCATTAGATTAAATCGTTGAAAACTTTCCATATGCATGATTGGTTGCTACCCAAAAATACTTTCCATCATCTACCATTGAATCAAAGTTGTTGCTGTATCGGGCAACACAACAGAGACAGTTTTTATATACATGTATCGTAGACTGGAACTCGTTGCCACCAAGCACAGTTGGGGCATCATCACTAGAACAACTCCTGCAACTAAATGTGCAAGGATAAGTGTAACGAGTCGTTCGGTGTGATAAAGCTAGCTGCCGCCGCGCCGCGTGCCTGCGAAGCTGGTGTGTTACGCCGAGGGGCGGTTATACTGATACAGATACAGATATATTATATAAACGGCGACACATAACCGGTGTGCTAGATGATATGAGCAAACTATCAATAAGAAACTTTGTAGGTAAGGCCACATTGATTTGATTATATGGATGACATCCTCCGGTAGCCCCAAAACTGATGCGCGCGTGCGAATAAAAAAAAAAGTTTTGCAAAAAAAAAAGTTGTTTTCATTGTGAAATCTACGTGGTCATGAGGGTTGAACAAATGGGACAGAATATGGTTTGGCAAATAATCTAATATTCAAGTTCATTTCCTTACAATTTCATCTTTTTTCGTTTGATTTTGGCATTCTACGACATTGGTATAGTTTTTAATTATTTTTTTGTAACTTACGGTATATTTTTGCTCATTTTGCAACTGTTTTGTACGATTTACAGTATGGTTGAAAACTTTTTTTTGGAAACGGCCGAAAATTCATGCGCGCGCGGATGTCATCCATATAATCAAATCAACATGGCCTAATGATATCACAATTACTAGTACTATATAGTACTAATGAAAAGTTTCGAACATCAATTCGTGATTTTCTTACGTAAAACATTAATATCCAAGCAGATGTTGTTACGTTTTTGTTTCTGTTACAAAGCTTAAAAAAGAAGGTGAAAAAACACAACCTCCCAACATCTGTTTGGGGATCAGTAAGACAAGAAGTTCAAGAACTAATAAAGACATATTGACACAAAGTCAAGTACAAATGTAGTAGTAGTAGAATGGTTTATTCAATTTGAAAACTCAACACATACACAATTCGCACTGACGACAGACTCGCAGGCAACCATACTGGATGCCTGAATTGCTCTGTGGTCACACAAAATATCATTAAAATGTCTTACAAAGAGAGACAGAATCTTATTTGCAAGGTGAAACAAGGTGAGGCCGTCCAAAAATGGAGCACCTCACGGATTTGACTGACGAGTCCTGACATGAATTTGATGATATCTCACAGCTAATTGCGTCTTTAGAGAGAAGACCTTTGATCTTATACTCGTACAAGTAGTCTTGAAAAGCCTGTTATAATGTACTTGTCGCCACGCCCCCTTTGTCCCGGTCATTCTGACTTGTCGCACGACTTTTTCTCCTGTAAGATTGTCAAAGTCGACACCGGAATTTACGACAACTGTTTCGACAGCTTCAATTTGTCTGACACATTCACAACTGCCCCATTGAATATTGCTCTCAATTCGCTGTGCCACAGTATATATGAAAATATCATACACACGACCAGTGCGACTGGGGCGTTAGCCACTGCCCCCCACCCCCTTCTTCGTTTCGATGCTTTCAATGAAATGTAATGTAGCAACGGTAAACTATCAAATACAGTATATATCTATTTATTCATTGGTTCGACAACGATAGTCTGGGCTACCGAACTATCTGACAAAGCAATTGTAAAGGTTGGTTCGAACGACAACATGGTGGCTGACTTATGCTTTACAGATGTTTGAAGGTTAAACAAAGGTCATGTGGAAGTCTAACCTTTATGAACGTTAACTTAGTATATTCTAACGGTTAGAGGGAAAAAGTTGTATAAGTCAGACCAAAATGGTCACATTTGAGACACAAAAAAAAATGTTTTATATAGAAATATTATACAGTTCGCTAGCCACATGGTATAGTTGTTGAATTTTATATGGTGCAGTTTTAGCCCGTGTCATACTCACTCACTAGTGTCATACCCCTGGGGCACATTCTGTGCTGTGTTACATATACAGTAACATCTATTGTTTGGTATGTTTCAAAGTCGTCTCCTTCAAACAAAACAAACATGGCGCCCGAAAGGTCAAAGGTCAAATTCTGCATAAAGCAGATGTTCAGGCCACTCTTTGTGTTCCCACATTATTTTAGCCGACTCGTTGTCATGACAACAAGCTATATTTCAATGTTCTTACACATTTGTAGCTTGGTTGTGTCGTTTTTTTTTTTACAAATTAAAGCAAACCATTTTTGCCACTTGGAACGCATAAGTTTCACTACTTTGGGACCAAAATTTTTCAAAAGCGAAAAAACTGTACAGCGATATCTCTGTATCATTATAATATTGTTAATCATGGTTATCTATAGATGCATTACTAGCAAATAACAACAAAGCAGAATTGTGCTTTTTTGTGACTTTTATTTTGAACCTTCTCTTGCAAAGGA